TGCAGTGTGGCTGCGAGCGGAGGGGGGCCAGAGATCTCCGGCGGTGATCACAGGTAAGCGAGGGCGCCCGGCGGGCGCTGCACCGGCCCCGCGGCCCCAGGGGCGCGCGGTTGCCTGGGCGCGGGCGGCGGGCTGGTCCGGGGCGGACGGGTGTGTCTGTGCGGGAGCCGCCCATCCGGAGGCGCGGAGGCACCCTGTGCGAGCTGCCAGGCTCACTTTGCCCCATCTGAGGAATGGGTGCTCTCCAAAGGTGTTGCCACCTAAACCCCGGGGAGGATCGCAGGGAGCGCTCCTGGAGGTCCGGAGACCTGCGGCCAGTCAGTAAGAGCTGCTCCCTGGGAGCCTGGAGCACGGAAGCCTTTTTCGGGATGGTCCAAAGTGCTGTCTCTGTTTGGGATGGAGGGGAGGGTGACCCAATTGGGATGCATGTGAAAAGAGGCGAGGGGACCATTGCTTTCTTGGACTTTTTAATCGCGGTAACCCCCCTTCACTTGACCCGGTTATCCTGAAAGACTGCAAGGACGAGGTTGTTGTAATCTCCTGGATTTAGAAGTCCTTGAAGTGCCCCAAAGTTGCTCTCTGCTTGATCTCTGCCTCTGGGATTGACCCGCTTCCTCCCAGCCAAACAACAGACACACACACACACACACACTCACTCACTCACTCACTCACACAGAGCCATCCATGTCTTCAGTTTTAAAGCCTGTTGCCTGTCCCTCGGGGCTGGGGCAAGACCTTCCTCACGCACACCCTGCCAGTCTTCCCGGACTTGGCTGCTGAACGGGGTGCTTTTCTCATTTGGGACTTTGAGTTCTCCCTCCTCACCCTCCCTCTCTGTCCCCTTCCCGGTTCCATAGCAAAGCCCAGAGTGAAACCGGACACTCTTGGAGGGTTGCAAACCTTAGAAGTGCTCCAACATCCATACCCTCGCAAAATGAGTCTGTGGCAATGCCTTTAATAAAACCGGGGGACCGAGGTAGGGTGGCGCTGGAGGAGAGAAGGAAAGTTTTGCCTCTTCTGGCTGGGAGATTCCCTTCCTGCACAAACAGCCTTGCCAGGTCCTGGGACGTCTTAAAGCCAGAGAAGGGGTTCCCCCTTCGCTGCAGCCAGGAACGTGGGGAAGCGTTTTGCGATCCCACCCCCTGACACACACTTTCTTAGAAGGGAAAGCTCTAAGCTCTTCGGCAGCTCTGCTCCTTTCTGTCTTGGCGTGGACTCCCTCCCGGGTAGCTCTGACTCTGTCCTGTTTACATGAAGCCCATTTCAGGGGACCCGAACTCAACTACTGTGCCAAGAATGTGCCCCTAAAGCTCCCATTCTCCTACTACCAAACCAAGAGCTAGAAAGTGATTTCTCCCCCCACACACATCTGACGTCATCGGATGCTATTTTTTTCCTCCTTTTTCCCCAGGAAGGAGAGGGAAAGTGAGCTCATTCACTTTCAGCCCCCAAGCCCTCGTCACCCAGAGCGGGGTGTAATATAGGGTAGAGGAGAGACGTTATTCATAATGATGATGATGATGATGATGGTAATTCAGGACTGCGGTATGTTTACTTCTCTCTGGGAACATCGGAGAAGCGTAGAGCCTGCTGCTTGGAGAGGATTTTTAAAAGATGAGAGGATCTGTTTTTTTCCCCGTGTTTACCTGTCATAACCAATGATTTGGAAGGCTTCCCTTCCAGAGGGGAGAGCCCAGGGTAATACAGGTATCATCACTGAAAAGGCAGTAAATGCATTTAAACATATATGTAACACCTGGGATTCCTCAGGAGCGTGCTTGCAATTGTAATTCAGACAAGGAGCCTCTATCCACACGCGTTCTCCTGTGCACTCCGTCACTCTCTCACACAAAGATTTGTGCAGTAAAATACTTTAATTGGATGGGGGACGCTAGGTTATTATTGCTTGTATAAAATGCCTGGTCCATTTTATGTGTGGAAATAACATTCCTCTCAAAAAGGAAAAAAAAAAGGCACTGCTGTAGCGTAGCACCAGAAAACCAGGAGCTTTTCTCCCGAGGATACTGGTGGATTTTTTCCCCTCCCCTAGTTGAGTCGGAGCCAGATTTGGCGGTGTGTAAACACCTGGCCCTGAGCCAGAAAAGACTCATTCTGTGTATCCTCCACACGGGAGAGGCTGTCGGACGAAAAAGAACCTGCTTCTCCTTGAATTAAAAAGCAAACAAACAGAGGTTCTTTGCAGAAGCACTTTTCCAGCTTCTCCCTTCCTGTAAGTTTGGGCTGGGAGAGGCAGGGCCCAGGTGGGGCAGCGGGGATGCAGGTGCGGAGCCATCTCCTCCTGCTGCTGGAGACCTAGGGCCCAGTGTGCTGCCTGACCTCCGCTGGCTCCCTGAGGCTGGGCGTCGCCACTTTCCTAGGAATCCCTGGTCACCTATCTGGAGAGAGCAGGCATCTCTCAGCGGGACTGCGCTGCTATTTCAGGCAGAGGGTTGCTGCCTCGCTGTCAGGCCAGGCTGCCTTACATCATTCTTTTACTCTTTGCTGCAGGATTCGACTGGGTTTCGCAAAGGTCTAATTTTACGGTGCAGTTAACCGGGTCTGTCGTCTGGCAGAGGCAGGCCTTGCCGCTCCTGGTAGGCGGGCCATGCTCCCAGATCTGCCTGGGATGCTATTTCTGCCCCGGTTCCAACTTCACTGACACCAGTTCAGACAGGCGCATGGAGAGGCAGAGGGAAGGAGCAGTTTGCTTCTGAAGCTCAGAAAACATGCCTTTTATTTTCCCAAAAGGGAAGGAGAAAAATTATATATATATATGAAAACAGATATATATTAATAAATATAAAAGGAAAGGCTTGTGCCGGCAAAAACAATGCTAAAGTTAGAAAGTGCAGGATTCTCCAGATGACCCCCGACAAGGGACGGACTTTAGGCTTGAGGAATTCTTTAAGGCTACTGGGATCAGGGTGCTTGGAGGCGCCAGTTCTCTCTTTGGCTGAATAGGGAGGCAGAGACGGGAACAGAGGAAGGTTGTGTCCTGGATGACAGGTCTTCAGTGGCAGGAACTGGGATTTAATCCCAGGCATCCTGACTTCCCGGCCTCATCCCCTACACCATGGAGAGAACGTGTCTAATGAACACCATCACCTCTCACCCCTCACAGACCCACCACCCAGACACAGCTTTCAGGCATGGCGATTGAGGCTGTCTTTCAAGTCCTGGGGTGGGCGTTTTCTGATGCATCCCTTTGTTTTTGTACCATACCAGGCAGGATCCAGACCCCTGCCCCTCATCCCCAATTGCCCCCTCCCCCCCTCACCGCCCCAGTGCCCTCCAGTTTGAAAGAGAAAGAAAATGAAAACAATGGGTTCAATTTGCTCCATTGAGCAGAGGCCCTGAGCAGCAGTTAATCTTGTTAAAGTTTCTCCTGACCTGTTAGATAAGTGAAATGTGGACCCCACAAGTGCTTTCCCTCCTCCCAGCCCACCCCATAGTGATCCAGAATCCCTGCTCAGAGGAGAAAGGGATTCACCTGAACCCCATCCAGCAATGCTGCCCCCGTCATGCTTTCTCCTTTCATTCTAAATGTTGGATTGAGTTTGCTGGCTACTCAGAAGTCTTTTTTGTCCCTCCCTTTTACAGTTCCCACTTACTACTACCCACCCCACCCCCCCAAAAAAAAGAATTCCTGCATTTTCCCAACTTGAGAAAGCTAGGTTCTAGGAGTCCGTACATTAATACTATTCTCCCTGGCATTTGTAGTCACGGGATGTCTAGAATATTGCAATGGTTAGAAGCCTGTTTTAGTAGTCAGGTTACCTAAGTGGGAATCCACCTCTGCCCCTAACTGGCAGTGTGACCTTGGGCAAACTAGTTGACTCCTCTGGGCTTCAGCTTCCTCATGTACAAAGTTAGGATAGTTTGAGTATCTGTCATTAAATGAGCTCATATGTGAAAAGTGCTCAGAACAGGATCTGGTGTATAGTAAGTGCTCAATAAACTTTGTTCTTGTTATTCAACACGATTTTCCAAAGATCTTGGTCTTGGTTTTGTGGACTAAGGACACTTAAAGGCAGGAAGGAAACCAGCAGTTCCTGGGTGCCTTCAAGGTGCCAGGCGCCGTGCTAGGTGCTTGCTTTGTGCCTGCAGGTTTCATTCTCACAACCACCCTGGGAGGTGGGCATTGTCGGCTCCCTTTTACCAAGGAGGAAACAGAGTCCCACAGGCCATCAGCTGGTCAGAGCATAGATGTGAACTTGAGTGCCGAGTGCCTGTTTCCTCTTCAGCAGTCTTTTCTGGAGCGAGAGAGAATGACTGCTGTGTGTTCTCCTTCCTCTCTGCCTCTCTGCGTGCTGATCATCACCTACAGATTAAAGAGGATAAAGAATAAGCATACATCTCACCTGGAACCAGGGTTTGACCTAGCAGATCTGATTTTCATTTCAAGCCAAATTATCAGACAGACTGGGCTTGGACTTTCTGTTGACAATTGGATGCTGTGTGAATTAAATCAAGTCACTTCATCTCTCCATCCCTTGGTTTGCTCATCTGTGAAATGGGCATACTAAGATCGGGATATTGCAATAAAATAACGATGTAGAAAGTACCTGGCGCAGTTCCAGCTCACATTAGGGACTCAGTCAACAGTAGCCGCATCTGGTCAATAACCACATTCTCTTTCCAGTTTGCTAGCTTGGTCTTCAGAAAATGGGGCCTGTTTGTGCCCGGGTAGGGCTCCTCCTTGTGAGTTGCTGGGGAGTCTGTCTAGAGTGGACAGTGTATCTTGAGGAAGAGTTAGACCCCCTCACATCCATTCCTTGCACTTTGATTTCCTCTTCTGTGACCTACTTGGATGACCCCTTGGTGGAGAGAGCCAGAGGAGGTCCAGAAGCACTGGACCTGTAAGCAGGAAAAGCTGATAGCCTCCAGGGAAAGCCTGCACCCCCACGCACAGGAGCCAGACCGTGCTCACAGCGGAGTCCAGGTCACAGATCTACTGTCACATGCTTCTTGCTCCTTCCCCAGCTTCCACATTCCCCCAAGCAGCCATTCGCATGGACAGACAGGGGATGGAGGCTGCATCGCCCTGGCCCCT